CTCTGAGAAGGGGGCTGCAGAAGAGAAGCTGGCCCAGGTCTCTGAGAGGCTCCGGGAACTGGGTGAGCAGGCAGCAAAGGAGCAGGAGAGGCTGCAGCTTGACATCACCATGCACCAGCAGGAAAACCAAAGCCTCCAAGAGAAACTAAAGGAGTCTCAAGTATGTGCTGCTGCTGTTCCCAGCCTGCAAACGCAGCTGGAGGTGGCAGAGAGACAGGCCCAAAGCTTCCAAGAGACCAGCAAAGAAGAGCTGTCTGCAATAAAATTTCAAATGAGCACAGAGATTATAAATTATCAGACAAAAATCAAGGTAAATTAATATATTCTACATGCTGGGCTGGACAGTGGGTCAGATAACCGTAATAGTCCCTTCTGGCTGCCAGTATATTCATGAATTTAGAGGGGGGTTAGTTCCTAACAACAACTGAGCCTGCTTCTGCAGTGTGCTAAGCAACCTTGATCTCCATTGACTTCTAACACTGAATCACTTACATCCTTTTAACACTGGTTCAGTAGAACAGGGCTATGGATGTGTGCCTCCCCCTTTTTCCGCAAAATATTGAGAACTTGAGTTTTCAGACCCAACTTGAGTTTTCAGGGTGCTCGACTTTCATGAATATTATTTGTCAACTTACAATAGTTCAACTTACAATTTGCCATTTTTTGAAAATACCTGTGATACAATAGGACCACTATTGCAAGATGCTGCATACCTCCTGCACAGGGGTGATTGCCCTCAGTTCCCATGGATTCCCTGCTAGCAGTAACACCCATTCTGGTACTCTCCCAAAATCCAGGTACAATCCAATAAACACCCACTCCTGAAAGCAAAAGAAGTTACTCCCAGTAGATTGTGCAGCTCTGAGCATATGATGCCACCCCATCCCATCTGGAGTGGTATTTTTATTGTACCAAAAACAGCTACCGAGATAAAAATCTAGTTTCAGGAAGCAGTCACGAGTCACCCTGATTCAGCTTCGATCATGTGGGGAGAAATTCCTTAAGGATAAAGAACTGTGTGTCTGTTAGTGCAGCTCCGAGACTAAGGCTGCCAGTTGATCAGTCGTACACACTTCTGTGTATGCTGGGAGTCTTTGAATGTCAGAAAGTTTTGGTGTGTTTACTTTGTACTTTGTCCACAGAGTATCTTCTAATTCCCAGCATGATTTGTGCTCCCTTTGTACTTTCAACTTAACATTTATACGTTGAGCAAATTGGGCCATTTTTTAATGCTCATAGTAATTGCAGGAAAAATATCATCTAACTACCACAACATGGGACATTTTCATGAATTAGGCTTTCCTGGGATGCCCATGTGAATTGGTCTGCCATCAGCTATGCAGACAGCCAGATGTATGCCCATTGTAATTCCATTATAAGCAGTGGATTCATTTAATCCAGCATATTGTAACTGTCCATGCTGCATCAGCAGGAGACTTCAAAACTGGGTGATGATGACTTTTAAGTGAACACTAACAAAGGTTTTATTGACTCCCCCAGGCTGTCAGTGAAGAATGTGCAAAAGTAAAAGAGCAGCTTGAGGAGCAGAAACGACAGCTGTGTGCTGCAGAGGAAGAGATTGCAGAGCTTCACGTAGGTGGCTAATCTGATTAAAATAAGGAAGCATGCTAAAGATCTTGAATCAGTAGTTCCTTGTGTTAGAATTCATAAGATACGTGATTTGGATGGGAGCTTGATAATGCAGATGAATAAATAAAACACAGAGGCCAAAACTGTCAAACCAGAGGGAGAATTCCAAGGACACAAATAGCAGCTAAACACCAAGGTTCTTACCTCTCGAACCAGTCAACTTTTACTCAGTTGCCTGAGTACAGATATAGGAGAGTACCCAAGTCAAAAATTGTTACCTCTAAAGTTTAGCTATGAAAGGTATTTTTTTCACTTCCTTTCACATTGAACTCAGGGTATGGCGACATTATGCAACTTTTAGCAACATGGTTGTGTGGCTCCATGTCGCTAAAAGGCACGCAAGGTAGATGCCGTTTGTGGTAGGAGAGGTCTCCTGCCTACAAAAAACTTCCATCCCCCTTTGAGTAGCAGTGGCTTTGTGTCAGCATTGAGAGTGATTCTGCTGACAGCACTGTTCACACTGGCATTTTTTGTTGGTAAAACTTTTGTCGTTCAGGCAGTGTTTTGTTAAACACCCCCAAACAACGAACGTTTTACAGTTGAAATGCCAGTGTAGACAAAGCCTTAGTTTTAATGAAGAAGTCATAAACTTGACATTTTCCCCTCACCCTCACAATAATTTAATTTATTTTAAACTTTTTATTTTCCTATTAGAGTATTATTTCAGATTGCAAAGTAGTTTTAAATACTTATATGGTTTATTCTTTCGTTGTTGGCTTTGGGGCTTTATTCTTTGATAATGACACAAAAGCCATTCAAAACCCCTATGCCATGGCTAATAAGAATTACTGGCATGGTTTAATGCTGTTTTACTTTTCAATTTATCCCTTATTCAATGTGACATAAGTAACCAATCCCCAGTACACAATTAATTAGTATCTGATTATTCAATAATAATGTTTTAATTAATGGTTAGACTTTTTTAACTCCCCTTTCAAAGCGTTGTATGGGTGAATAGCAGCCAAGTTACAGTCAATATAGTGATGGGTTTTGTATATGAAATAAAAATGTTTTCTTATTTTGCTAGGTGGTAAACACGGATCTGTCTAGTAAACTGGAGCATGCAACAGAGAAATTGACTGAATATGAATCCACAAGGCTAAAAAAAGAAGAGGAGGGAATGTTGCTGAAAAAGCACTTGGAGAGGTTTGCACTTTGGTTATTTCACTTCAATTGTTTGTAAGAAGCCAAACAGGAGAAAAGCCACCATAGTGACTGTAAACCATGTTGTTTTGTGCCATATGTGAGGCAGGGGAGAGAATTCATAACTACCAGTATTGAGTAAGAAGCACTGTGTGGCCTTTCAGATGAAAAATATGGAAATTACACAGACTACAACTTCCCTTTGCTCTCTTAACTGATGTTCTGTCTTCATCGCAATTCTTGCTTCCTTTGTGAAACTAGTCTATATGGTGGTAGGCTATGTGTTGGGGGTTGGATGCAACATTCAGATTACAAAAGTGTTAACTACTCTTTAAAAGAGGATTGGAAAGTTTGCACTGTTTTACGCAGCGGGCATGTTTTAATTTAGTCTCTCAGTGGTGTCTCAAAAGCAAAGTGAGAATTGCTGTTGAAGGGGACAAATCCCACAGTTCTTGCTCAGGCAGATATATTGAGTTCAATGGGCACTTTGCCTAAGTAAGGACCTGGTGACACATACTAGCACTAAATGGCTTTGCAGCACAGACCTGGCAAAACCAGTGCAGCCTGGCCTGACTCCAGGGCTGTGGCTTACGAAGGAGAGCAATCCTTTCAGACACAGCTGCATAACACCAACATGGCCATCAAAGGAGTCTGTGGCTCTGTCTCATTGGGCTGTGTGAGGTGTCTCATTGGGCAGCTGTGGGAGGGCAGGTCCCCATGGTTTTCAATCAGCTAGATGAGTAGAGAGGAGAGTCATCTATGGAATAGAGCTTTCAGCTGAGGAGCACAGTATCCATCAGGGCAATTGTCTCTCCATGGAGACTGGAGGGAAGGCTGGCAGGACACAGGACTTTCCAGAATGCCTCGCACCCCAACAAAAGGACAGATATTGGGCCTTACGCTCAGCTGGGATCAATCAGTGTGGCTCCATCGGGGACTGAGTCTGCAGACTCGGGATCCCACTACAGCACTAAAAATAGCCATGGAGACATTTGGGGGGTTGGAACTTGGACTCTGAAACCTGGGGTGCAGGGTGGGCTTCAGATCCTCAGCCCCAGCCCCAGTCCAAATGGCTACACAGCTATAGTGCTGTATTGTGAGCCCCACGAGTCTGTAGACCTGAGGTCTAAGATGCGCTGCCAAGGGTTTCTGCTTGCTTTGTAGATGTGTCCTCAGGAACTTCATTTACATGGAGACTCTGCTTCTCAGCAGCTTGATGAGTGCTGGGCACGGAGCAGATCTGCACTGGGCCTCAGCATCCTTGGGCAGAGCTGTTTTGGAAGTAAGGTGCTAACGCTCATCTTGTTCCCAATGTAAATGAAGTTTGGGATATTGGGCTTGAACGAGGACTTCAGAATCAGGGCCTATAATTATTTTTTTAGATTTCTGTTTCTAGCCACTCTACTTTCTTACAACTAGGTGTGCACTAGATTTGTGTGTGTGTGTTTAGCTCTAGCCAAAAGACAATGCCCTTTGGGGAAAGGGAGAAGATGTCCTTGGTGATCCATCTTGTCAGTAGTGCTGGCTACTTGCTCATCAGGTATTAACTGAACTGAAATTAGTGGACACTGATTTACAGTAATTGACTGTCTGATCCTGTCAGTTCATCCCTTGTGCCAACTGGGAGTCTGTTGATTCAGATAAGTAGATTGAAGGCTGTCAGATTTACCAGTGAGACTGTGAGTAATTCTCTACTTTCATGTTGCACTGTTGACTGAATTTAATACAGTAGAAATCAAGTCAAACCTCATTAAGTCTTTTCCTCTGTCCACCTAAAATCTGAGGCAAATTTGTCCGGCTGAGACGCAAGTGAAGAAGTCATAATAGCGGGGCTTGTCAATATTTTTGGTTTTAGAGCCTTTGTTAAGGGATTTTTGTTTTGTCGTACTGCAAATAATGAATGGCATGCTTAATAGACATGCTGTGAACATGTAACCCACTGATCAGTGTGTGCTAGAGATCTTCCTGTGCGCCCAATCTGAAGGGAGGCTGAGTCTTTAAAGACCCACCCGGAGAATCTTGGCTCTCAGCGATTCTCAACCTGTTTGTTGCTTGGCCCACAAAGCATTACCTCAGCCGCAGGTTAAGAACCACAGTGCCCCTATCCATAGCCCCCTGGTGCCCAGTACCTCCTGCTCTGAGACCCCTCCACAGAGTGGGGTCAGGGTTGGAACCCTGGGTGGGGAGAAGAGCTTTAGGGACTCCAGACTCCACCATACAGGGTGTTTGGCAGCCTCCACGTGGACCCTGGACCTCAACCCCATTGGGGAGCCTTCAGATTCTGTGAGGCCAGCTAGCAGCCCTGGATCCTGGGGGCCTGTCAGCAACCTCTGACCCTGGATTCTGAAAGCCCCAGACTCTTTGGGGCCTCACAGCAGCACCAGACCCCATACTCTGTGCGGTGGGAAGCATCCCTGGCCCACATGAGGCCTGCCAGCAGCCTAGGACCCCACCACACGAGTCTGGCTGGCAACTCTGACCCACCCCCACTCTCTGGACCACCTGAACCTGGGTCGTCCAGGTTCTCAGCTCAGCGACCAAACAGCTGGGAACCTGGCCTGGCAGATTTCAGTATACAGCTGGGTTCCCAGTCTGTGCTAATTGGGTGGTAAGCAGCCCATGGGCCACAGCTTGAGAATTGCTGGCACTGTAGCAGCTCATGCTGCCTGGCTCAATCCCTGGTGTGCAATCCAAAGGGCAGACATCACAAACACAACTGTGGAAAGGGAGCAGGAAATAGTCCCAGTCTCTGTAGCCTCTCTTCATCTGGGACCTGTTCCCAACCCCTGATCATGTTAGTTGCCCTCCCCTCTCCCAGCCTTTCTCTTCCCCTCTCCCACCTCCTTTTCCCAGTCTCCCCCAGTTTTTTTCAATAAAGACAGAGTCAATGTTGGAAGAAACGTTATCTTTATTTTGTACATCAATAAGAAGGGGGGCTAGGGAAGGGTAAGTGGAAGGAGGTGAGGGAGGAATGGGGTACGAGCCCCCGATGGGGAGGACTGGGCTGGCTCTGCGGGCTTCTGGGGGTGGAAGCTCTCCTGCAGCCCCCCAATTACTCCCTCTCCCCAGATGGCAGCCTGCGGCAAGTGCAGCCGGGCTGATGGCCGAGTGGTGTGATGTGCCCAGTGTGGGCACTCAGGGCACTCCAAGCCAGAACTTCTTTGCAAGCGGGGCACCCCTTAGAACTGTGTGTCCGGGGTGGGGGTCGGGACCCTTTAAGCGCAGCCCTCGGCTAGCCTGAGACAGTATCTCCATGCTCTAAGTCCTCCTTTTATGCCCTGCCGGCACTGCTTCCGGCCATCCTTAAGCCCTGTTCAGAGTCCACTCAATGTGGACTTACTAGTTCGAACTAGCAAAACGCTAGTTCGAACTAGTTTTTAGTTCTAGATGCGTTAGTTCGAACTAGCTTAGTTCGAATTAACTAATTCGAACTAAGTTAGTTCGAACTAGCGCTGTAGTGTAGACGTACCCTGAGGTACCCACAGGTAATGTATCTAGGCACAGCTACAAAAGTGTCAAAAACCTAAAGCCCATGTTCTATAAAGTACTGTGTTTACACTGAGAGAAAATTCACTCAATCTACAGATTTCATCAAGATACATGGCAGATGTGGCTTCTTCTAAGAACACTAATTTGCATTTAAATAGGACCCAAAGAGAAGCTGACAAAGCAAATGAGCAAGTCAAAGAGTACGGTGACAAACTCAACAAAGCGCTAGCAGAGAGGGACAGCAATGATCAGAAGCTGTTGGCTGAGCTGGACGATCTAACTAGAACAAAGCAGTTCCTTGAAGAACGTTTGATAGAACTTCTCAGGTTGGTAGTAAAAGAATCTGTTTTGTGTACATTATTATGTTGCGGAGGATTTTAAGTGGTGCTGCATGGAGGAATTTATCTCTTATTAATAAAATAAATATACTGGCCAAGTTCTGTGACACAGCATTGACAATGAGGTTCAATTGTTAAAAGACATTATGAAAAGTAAAATAGCCAGAATGCCATCTAGTTCTTTTCTTAGCTTGCATCTGTTTTGCAGAGTCCATGGCATTCTATAGATGGCATATGTTCTTCCCCCTCTCCCCCAAAAATGTTTCAATCCTTTTTTCTAGCAAATATTTATCACCAGTATCCATCGCTTACAGAGAAGCTTTGCATTCTGCCCTGGATCTGGGGCTCAGATGGGACCAGATTGTTATTCAGAGACCTATGCTGACTGGTGCATTGTGGGGAAATGAATAGTGAAAATGTGTTAGAGGCTCTACCCAATTGCTCACTCGTGGCCAATTCACCTGTATGGGTGTAGGTGTAATGGCTTGGCAGCAACTGCCATCCCACCTATATTCTGATTCATCACCTAGGTAGCCCACGCAGGGGAACATCTCATCTCCGCCTTCCCCTAGTCTCCTGTCCTGGTCCAGAGGCTGGCCCACAATTATGCCCAGTGTGATCAGTTTTCCAATAGCAAGCAAACTCAACAGACAGATTTTCTGCTGCTGTGCATTGATGCAGGTTCATTAAATGAATGGGTGATGACGTCTCTTGAAAATCTGGTCACAAGTGTCACAGTGGGAGCTACTGGATGCCTCCCTTTAGGAAATCTACCCCTTATTTAACGACCAAAGAAAAACTTAGCAGTTTTGAAGAGGTGGCTCCAAGTGATTTGACCAAGGTCATGCATGCAATCTAAGCAAAGCTGTAAACTGAACTCAGCTTTCTTGAATCCCCATCTTGTGTCCAGCTGAGCCGAAAGCCACCACAGGCCGTGGGGGAAGGTGTGGGGGGTGGCCAACTCTGTACCCCCAAAATGGGCGGAGCTATGGGCCGTCAGCCCTTAACACCATCCAAACCACAGCTTGCTCCCCCCTGACTCTGAGAGCTGCACAGAGCAGTGCCCCAGTGGCATTTCAAATGGGGGGCATCCAAGACTTTGAATCTCTAGCCCTGGAGCAATTGCTCCTCCCCTGCCCAGGCCTGCCTGTGTTTTAACTACAGAAGCATCTTTCCTCTTGAAGGCAGACTCCTGTAAGCTGTGTGTAGGTATCATAACAATTCTGGAGTGAACAAGACAAATACAGATCGGGGTTTATGTTAAAAAATGGAGGATTTTGGTTTTTAGTAAGTCTCATGTTGGATCTTATATAACTTGCAGATATGCAGCAACTGTGGTTAATGGTGTTAAATTACGCTGCCATTACAACACACTGACAATTTGTTAAGCAGCGGTAAGGCACTAACTGTGGTTCCTGACACCTGGTCTGTGTATTCTTGCCTTCACACAAGTGTGGATGTGCTGCAGAAACCTCTTCGTCTTTTCTAGACATTAGCTTTAGACATTAACTATTCATCAGAGGATCCTTCTACAAAAAGGTTCCTTTGACTGGGTTGTTCCTTTCCTGGGCAACTCTATGTACTTGAAGCTTTGTCTACACTAGAAAGTTGGAAGAGCAGCCACGGCAACACTTTAAGGTGGCCATGTGGCCATGGTAGGAGTGATGGGAGAGCACGCCATGTAAACTACCTCCACAAGGGGAGTAGCTAACAGTGCTAGGAGTGCAGCTTCTGGAGCTATAGCCTGCTTCATACTGGCGCTTTTCAGCACTAGAACTTGCTGTGCTCGAGGGGAGCGGGGGGGAGGGGGAGATTTACACTCCTGAGCCAAAAAATTGAGCACAGTAAAGTGCCAGTGTAGACTTAGCCTGTGTCTGGTTCAGGAATAGTGATAGAAATGTAGCTGTGTTAGTCTGGTGTAGCTGAAACAAAAAACTGGACTATGTAGCACTTAAAAGACTAATAAACCATCTTGTTAGTCTTTTAAGTGCTACATAGTCCTGTTTTTTGTTTCTGGTTCAGGAATAGGAGCTATTACAGTAGACTTCCGATTATCCGGAACCTATGGGACCTAAATGGTGCCAGACTATCAGATATGCCGGACTATCTGGAGGTACTATAAGCTGGTTATATATATACTGTATACATTATATACTGTATATAAAATGTTCTTAACTCTTTTTATTGTACATACTGTATATAGTATACTATAATGTTTTATAGTAATAGAAATGTAGCCGTGTTAGTCTGGTGTAGCTGAAGCAAAATACAGGACTATGTAGCACTAATAGTCTAATAAACCATCTTGTTAGTCTTTAAAGTGCTACATAGTCCTGTATAATGTTTTAGTTTTTTTAAGCCTTTTTTACTCTTTTTGCTCCGTTCAGCTGCTGCCACTGTTACCTTGTGACTCATTTTTTGCCGAAGCTCACTCACTAGGCTCTTAACATTTTGTTGCCGGACTATCAGGAGTGCTGGACTATTGGATGCCGGACTATTGGAGTTTTACTGTACTTGGATTCTCGCCTCATTTTAGTCTGAGAAACCTATGTCAGTCATTTCTCTTTGAATACTGTCAAAACTTTTAAGAGTTGATTAGCTCATTGGACCCAGTCAGGGCATTAGCACATTCTTCAGGAGGCACACACACTTTTGGTATTGTTCAGTCAGACAAGAGGAAGTGGGTTTTCTTATTGATGTCGGTTTTCTTAGCCTTAGTTGTGTTTTTAAAGTGCATGAAGGCATAAATCTGTGAAGTTGCTGAAAAAGATGAAGCCCTTTTTTATTACCTTTTATTGCCTTTCCTGTACCTGGTGGTGTTGGTGACTAATCTTTCCCACTTGATTCTGGTTATGCATAAATGAAGACTTCCTTATGCAAGTTTAGAATCCCTTTGCTCTCCTTATAGCAATTTACAGGTGCCTAAGAGTCTACATCGGTGTATCTTATACAGTGAGGAGCTGGAAGAAGATGTAATCAAGGGTAAAGTTTGGGTCTCATACTTAGCTCTTGATATCACTTGATATTTTCAAAGAGTGTCTAACCACTTACGCAATCCTCATTAACCCTGTGCGGTGGTTTAGTATTACCATATTTATTTTACAGAATAGTAAATTAAGAAACAGTGATTAAATTATATGACCAAGACCTTGGTGTAATTTAGTGCCAGAGCAGAGACTAACTCCTAACTCCTTGTCCTTCCCTTTTTCAAATATACAGTGGAACCTTCCTTGGAACTAGAGCATAAGTTTCTGCTCCTAAGCCTAGCTGCAAAGTTGAGCTAAGATGTCAGGTAATGAGGGGTGACATGAGATGGTTAGCTCTCTGTTGTTAGCCTTTGTGGTTTGAAGTTACACTTGACAGTTTCCCTCAAGTTCTGCAAAACTTTTTTTGCTGTTGATGCACCTCCACTTCAGCCTGAATTCCACCCTCTTCTGACCTTTAAGGGTAGGTTAATGCCAGCAGGAGCAGGGCCGTCCTTAGGCATACTCGGAGTATGCGGTCGCAGGAGCAGGGCCGTCCTTAGGCATACGCAGAGTATGCGGTTAGTATGCGGTCGCGTAGGGCACCACACTTTTGGGGCACCACTCTGCCGGCCCGGCGTGGAGGGGAAGCATACATGTACGCTCTGCACCGGAGCCAGTAGGGGCGCTGACAGCACTTACGGCCCCGCCAGAAGACCCCACTGGGCTGAGGGACTCTAGCGAGGCAGCCAGCAAGCTGGGGAAGGGAAGCTGTCAGCCCAGGCAGCAGCGTCAGGAGGAGCCAGGGCTGCACCGGGGAGCGGGGTCACACATGGACTGGCGCTGCAGCACCGTTTTTAAAAATGGCCAAGCTGCGCTTCTACAGGAGACGTGCTGAGCGGGGCGCAGGGGAGCAGAGTCTCGCTAGGGCAGGACTGGCCGTGCTGTGATGGGCCGGGGCTGCGAGTGCAGAGCGGCCCAGCTCCAGGTCCGGCACGTGGTCTGAAGCCCAGGCTGTGGGGACTTCTGGGGCCCGATCGCAGCAGACTCCAGCCCTGCAAACGGGAAGGCAGAAGGGAGGCAAGGCAAGGCGAAGTGAGGGGGAGGGGTGGGAGAAGAAGAGGTGCTGAGGGGAGGGAGGCAGGTCAGGAGAAGAAAGGGGAAGGCACCAAGGGACAGGGTATAGGAGAGACTAATGTGGGGGGCAAGTGGAGACAATGAGGAAAAGGGCAGGAGGGGAGGTGTCAGTGGGAGGGGGGACAGGGTGATGCTGGGAGAGGAGAAGAGAGAGGAAGGGCATTGGGGGCTAGAGGGGAAGGGGGAGGCTTAAAAGAAGGGGTGGGCATGAGAAAGGTGGGGATGGAGCACGGCATGTGTGAGGGCACAGAGGGGCAGGAGGGGAATGGGGCAGAGAGTGGTGAGGGGGTGGGCATCAGGGAAAAAGGTGGCAGGGGCAGTAAGGGAAGGGGGAGACACCAGAAGGGTGCAGGGGTAAGGGAAGGTCCAGGTGCCAGGGGATTCTGGGGGTGAAGCAGAAGGGCAGACACCTGCAGGGGAGAGACCAGCACCAGAGGAGATAGGCAGGGCAGGTGTGTAGAGGGAGGTGTTAGAAGAGGGGATGAGGAGGGGTAGCTCATGTGATCAGAGTGGGGCTACTGGAGGAGTGGGCACAGGGGGGAGAGAAGGGCTGGTGGAGGGGGGCAGGTCTCAGGAAGGCTGAGGACAGGGAGAAGGGC